GTTTTCTGTAAAAATTTTGTCCAGACGAATCAATTTTCGTCCAAACGATTAACCGACTTAGGACAGTTTTCAGCAGTTTCTAGATTCGACCTTGTAATAACCGTTCGTACTGGACGAACCTAGTTCGTACAGGACGATCAGCTGTACGAAGACATTTCGTACACATATTCAAATAGGGTCGTTTCAGATCGTTTAAGTAAAATCGTCCAGGACGATCCACGATCGTACAGGACGATCCACTGCGTACAGAATTGAATACTTGCAGTTTTTGGGCGGTTTTTCTTGTCTTTTGTATAAATAGCCCAAATTAGACTGCCACCCAATCTTTTTGTCATTTGATCTTCGTGTCTCTTGAGAGAATAGCCAAGGAGAGAGTTGGAGAGAGCATTCAAGGGAGGATTCTTACCACTGGAGCGATAAGGCTTCATTTGGATTTCAAAGGTAAGAGTCTCTACTTGTGAATTGGGATTACTTCACTCTTTTCTTTCTTCCTTCTAGATTCTTGTGAGAAGATCTGTCAAGGAGATCCGGTTCTCTGCCGACACTTGGAGAGTGTGAAAGGACGAAGGGTTCTCTGCCCACACTAGGAGAGTGTGAAAGGACGAAGGGTTCTCTGCCCACACTAGGAGAGTGTGAAAGGACGGACGGTTCTCTGCCAACACTGGGTATTGTGTAAAAGGACGGACGGTTCTCTGCCGCACCGGGGAGTGGTGAAAAGAGTGTGTTGTAAAGGCTTCTCCGCCTTGCTGTGGGTGCAAAAGGAGAGTCACTATTGGTGTTAGTGCAATACTCAGAGGGTGCCTCTGGGGAGTGGATGTAGGTCTGGTTATAGACCGAACCACTATAAATCTGGTGTCATTTACTTTACTGTTTTTACATTTCCGCACTTTCTATTTCAGTTTTAAAAACTCTGTGGTTGAAAAATCTTTTTCTACAAAAAAAAAGGGTCTTAAATTTTAATTTTTAAACTACCAATTCACCCCCCCTCTTGGTAGCCTTGGGACACTCACTTATGCTTAACAACCTAATTACTAGATTCAACCCGGCCAGGCTCGGCTTTCAGGCTGCCGCAATGTAGGGTCTCTGCTACGCCGTTCTAGTCTGCTAGACCGCCTGCTGCCATGACTCGACATCACACACGAGGCCACGACCAACCCGGAAGGCCGGAACTGTGAACTCCGACGTCTTTTGGAGATGATTCCACCATCGACCTCACCCCGTCGGCGACACCGCTTGAAGTCGGGTCAGATTTTGCATTTTTTTCCTTTCAGCTAATCGGGTTCGCGGGTCGGGTCGGGTCGAGTCAACCTGGTAACCTGTGCGGGTCTTGTCCGGGTTGAAAACCCTGACCCATTTAGCTAACTGGGTCGGGTTCGGGTCATCCCGTTTACGCCCGGGTCAACTCGGGTTCGACTCGAACCTGACTCGTTGACCCGAATTGACACCCCTGACAAGAGTTGCAAAATATCATACAATATATCAAATGAATGAAATTTACAGTCTAAACTGGTCACAATTGATGTGCACGTTCTTGAAGAGGAAAATTTGGCCGTTTACTTGGTGCCAAACTTGAGGAAGGAGATCCCATGTTTAAATTATGGGATGAACAAGACTTTTGGGTAACATCCTAGTTATGGATGTAACACCCCACAGTACCCCTTAACAGTACTGTAGAGTATAACTAGGATAATCATAATATTTCCATCACTAGACATCTCATTAAGTTCATTTTATTTCAGATCTATATAAACGATCATATAAACATCATTTAATACAAAAAATGAAACATCTAATAATTCAAATACTCCAATTATAAAGTTACAGAGCCACTACACCATCCAACTAATACAAGACTGAAGTATTTCATACCTCTAAAAGTAGACTTAGTAAAATTTAACTTAAAATGAAATGAAGAAACACTTGTATAAATTAACTTGTACCAATCTTCTCCTTGTCCTTTCCTGTAACAACAGCCAGAAGAAAGTTCTGGTGAGCTATGAGGCTCAGCAAGTAATACAAAATTAATTAGCAATAAAATAGTATAACATGAATAATTATAACATTGAATTAATATTGAAAAATTACAAATCATAATTAACTACCTTTTGAATCCCTTGTTGAATATAAATTTTATGTGAAAGATTTGGCTATATTTTCATAGCATTATTCAATGGAGCCTAAGTAAACCTTGCATTATCACCATTGAATTGCATAAAGGTCCCTTTTGCCACTTTTTGGGGTACCTTTTGCCTCACCTGCTATGCAGGTTTCATAATTTCCTGTGGTACCTTTTGCCCCTGGGGTCCCTTTTGCCCCACTTACCATGTAGTTCTGATATGGGAACCATTTTGTCCCAACTACAATGATAAGGCATACATTATTCATAGCCAAACTTTACATTAATTTAGTATTCAACATTATTTCATAATTAATATCATATCAGTCTTCATTATCATTCATGATATATCTTGTGTAAGACTAATATACATAAGTTTTTCAAAAAAGATCACCTTAGAAAACTTTTCAATGGAAATCATATCGTAACAAAGATATAAACATCATGTCATATTTGAAGGTGTGAAGAAAATATTCTAAATCAAAACAAATAAAAAATAACATATAAGTTTATTCAAACATTAATCTTTGCTTTACTTACCTCCTTGATCCTCCAATTCTCTCTTACGAACTCTTCCATGATTGTAAGTCACCTCGAAACTTTCTCTTTGCATAAATATATCTGAAGAATCCTAACTTTACGATTAATATATACTTCTTTAGAACTTGAATGAATTTAAATGATATAAAAGATAATAATAATCATCACAATTCTTACCTTTCTTCCAATATTCTTAACTTCTTCTATTTCTCCAAACTTCCTTTTGATTCTTACTTTTCCAAATCCTTCTAAAGTTTACTGTTTATTGTTTTCAAATCAGTTACATGCCTGTCAACTATAATTCCCCATATAAATCTAATTCAAACATAGAAATCTTTTAAACAGATTTCTAAATTTCCACCTGAACTGTTGAATTGTTCTTCAGAAAATCCTGCTACAATAAGCCACAATTTTTCTACAGAATTCAGAAATTCTCCCTTCAGTCTTCCCTAGCCGAAATCTGCTACAGTGATTTCTGCGATTCTTCTTCAGAATTCTGTGCCTATCTTCCTTCCTTTGCACTGTTCAAATCTTTCCACTTCTTTAATTCCTGCTTGCGTGAAATCATCTATATAGGGAAAAGCCATTTCAGACCCATCCGCCCCTTCTTTTATTGCCTGTTTGCTTGAACTGGAAATAGGGCCCACATCAGTAACTAATTCTAATCTTATCATCCAAAGCAAACACCTATTCGGCTTATATACAATTAAGTATATTTTATTTCATTTTATTGATTAAGTAATATTACTCATAATATTTACATAAAGTAACTGCTATTTACTCGATATATTCATTTATTAAAAAATCAATTTTATTTTTTAATTACTTAACATTTATATGTTAATATAAATTTAGCAAAGATTTATAAATATACCTGCATAGATGTCACAATGGAAATCTTTGGTTTGAGAGATAAATGATATATATTTATACAAGCAACCAACCTGAGCAATGATGATCAATAGAGATGCTCTATGAATAGCCTTAGAATCAAACGATTGACATGCAAAAATGATGATGGAAACTTCATGAAAATTCACAAAATTGAAATTGGATAACATGGGAAGGATAAGCAAAAGATCAAATACATATCTATATAACACATGTGAAAGGTGATATCACCAAATAATCAACCATCATATTCCACAAAATAGAAACATAATGGCTAAAAAACTTACTCTGAACACTAGAAAAAATGTCTGTAGTAGGTACCTCTCAGGTATGACCTTATTTCTCAGGTTTAAAATATCAAAGATGCCAATATTTTAGTTCTTCGACCACTTATTTTGGGGCTACAAACAATATGACCAACCCTTCTCATAAATTTATTTTATGTACCTTTTGTCCTCACAATAAGAAAATAATCATGGTTAATGAACCATTTACAATGGGATGTTCCTTGGTGCTGATAAGGGTAAATACTATATATTATTTTGTGTTTTTTTTTCAGTGAAAATATGTTATTTTAGTTGTGTTGTGCCAAAAAAAAAAAACACCAAATTCAAAGTATCATCTAATGCTGTGGCATCAGACAAATCAATGCTTTAGCACAATCAAAGGCATTACCAGAGCACTACAACATTGACATAACGACGCTGACTTTTCTATTGGACAACGTCACAACATCAAAATGGTTAACTTTGCAGTGCCATGTTTGCTATCTTCAAACGTTGCAGTGTCACAATTTATCATGTTTCAGTGTCACAATCTATCATGGTGGAGCAAAATATAAGCGTAGCAGCATTAGTTCATTTTTTGGGTGCTGCGGCGGCAATCTTTTAAGCGTTGCATCGCCAGTTGCCTAAATTGTATTTTTCGATAAATAGTCGTTGTGTTATGTTTGTAAGAGAGTTCAGTCACTTTTATAATTTCAGTAATTTTCAAGTACTTTAAATCTCTCTTAGAGTACAATCTAAGAGAAACTAGGAAAGTACAATGTTTGTTTGAGCAACTCCATACATTAAGGAAGAAGTATAGAAGAGACACATTGATAATTCTTGGTGATATTATTCTCTTGTATTTTCATTATTCTATGATTTCAATGAAAATGAGTTTGCTTATCTTTTCTTCTATATCTGGCTAATTCTCTAATTTTGTATTGATGAAGTTGAAAATAAAGTACTATTGAAGATTCTTGCGCTCTAAAGGTGAAATGATATTTTCAATATTATTATATTCTTTATGTAATACACATAGTGACATATGTGTAGTTAAAACCTAGTGTGCTGTATAGTTCGATAGTGATCTAGGGATGCATATGCTCTGCATCATATTAAAAATAAGAATTTCATTAAGAAAGATATGCAATTTATATTCATCAATTCAAAATACTTTATTTAAATATTGTATCATTATTTTACTGGTTTTATTCAGCGAGCATGTTTGCACACCTAGATATAAGATGTAAAATATGCTAAGTTCTTTAGGAGTTGATATAACTATAGGTGGTTAATAAATGTTTTTTTTTTCACCCCTACAAGTTCGATAGAGATTTAGGGATGTATATGCTTTAAATCACATTAAAAATAAGAATTTCATTAGGAAAGATATGCAATTTATATTCATCAATTCAAAATACTTTATTTAAATATTGTATCCATTATTTTACTGGTTTTATTCAGTGATTGAATCTCCACAATCAATAATTTTTTATTTCAGTAGGATAATTTTGCAATTAGAGTAGACTGTAGTAGTTGATTGTTGCAAAACATACTTTTTCATGGGTTTGACACTCTACTCTATTACTTTATTAATTGATTCGACACTTATACTTGCATATATTGTTGGGTTTATTATTTTAATATATTAAAAAAATTTAAGAATTGTTTAGTTGAGATAGAGCCTTAAACATTTTTATAATTCAAAATTGGACTCCATAATAGCCCCAATCAAGTTTTTTGCGTTGTTGCTGTGGAAGTATTTCGCTTTTTGTAAAATTTTAACTATATTATTGAGTTAATTACATAGTTAGACGTAGTTACTTTTTTATTATTATTATTTTTAATTTCTTTGATTACTAATTGTATATTTTTTATTGTATGCTTTATAGTCATAGAAGGAAACTTTTGTCATTTAGTCATGAAATTTAGCGAACCCTTTCTAAAATTCGAAAAATCAAAAAGATTTTTAAAATGACTGAACCTGAGTTTGAATTAAAATCCATCATTATACAAATGGTTCAAAACTCTTAGTTTGGGTAAGCCATGTAAAAGATCTCAATTTACATTTAGCTAGTTTCTTAGAAATTTATGTAACATTTAAGTACAATTGTGTTAGTGATGATGCTATTAGACTTAGATTGTTCTCTTTTTCTCTAACAGATAAAGCTAAAATGTGATTGAATTCTTTACCATCAGGCTCTATAACTACTTGGAATGAGTTCGCTTATAAGTTTCTTGCTACATGTTTTGACCTTCAAAAACTACCAAACTTAGAAATGTCATAACTTCTTTTACTTAGTTTGAACGAGAATTCATTTATAAGAGTTGGGAAAGATTTAAGAAATGCCCTCATCATGCATTACCTGATTGATTGGTTATTCAAACATTTTATAATGAATTAGTAGGATTTTTTTAGAACTATAATTGATGCTGTTGTTGGAGGATCATTAATATCTAAGCTATTTGAGGAAGCCTATGAATTAATAGAGAAAAAACTACTAATAGTTCTAGTGGTCTTCTAGTAGGGTAAATCCTTAAAAAGTAGCTGAAATTTTTTATTTTTAATGCTTTATCAATCTTGACTGCATAAGTTGCCGCAATTTCTAAGAAGTGAATACAATAGGAGCAAATTTTGGAATAAGAACCGAATCTTTTGGAGATTGACATTCAATTGAAGATAATAATATATAAGAAATTGAAAACATTAATGTAATTGGAAGATAAAATAAATCCTATACAAATACATATAATCTAGGTTGGAGGAACAATCCTAATTGTAATTGGTCAAATAATATGAGTGGTAGTAATTAATAGAATAATGGCAAAAATAATCAAGGAGTAAATTAATAATATTTTGCTATCATAAACTTCATAAGTTCAATGATGAAGTTTATGAAGATATAAGAAGATATAAGACGGATATTGTAAAACCCGAAAACGACATTAGTAGGTCGTCGCATGCTTTTCAAAGCACCGCGCCGAGTTTTAAAGGAGATTTTTAATGTTAACGGAATTTAACGAAAATAATTTTATAAAATTCCTTGCAAAATTCTGATCTTTTTGATATATATAACCCATACCTAATTTCGTCTATTTTAGGAATTAAAATTTATTAAAGTTTCAAAAGGATAACTCTACCCCTAACAATTTAAAAGCGTAAATTTACCTAAGGGTAATAAGGTAATTAGCAACTCTTCTCCCTATTATGAACCAACCGAACCCCACCTCCCATTTCACGCAAGAATTACCGAAAACGGGAGAGAGGGAGCGAATAAATGGACAGACGGGCGGACAGGCGGATCAGCGAGGGCGTTCCGATGAAGATCTTCCGGCGAAAATTTTAGTCCAAATCGAAGAGGACGACAAGAGGATTACTCAGGTATAATTATTTTCAAATGGATCCCTCTCAATCTCTAGATTTTTGGAAAAGAAAATTTTAAGGTTTTATAAGATTTTGGTTTTCTTTCGTATTTTCTTTACGAAAACTTTAAGGAAGGATTAGAGAAATGTTTTAGCAATGAAAACAAACAGATTAGAGGAATTTTTGGAGAAATGGAAATTAGGACTTTTTGTTAAAAATCTAATTTCTACAAAATGTTTTTAGAAAAGTTATTCCCAAAGACATTAGAAATGTTTTGAAAGCATGAAATCGGATTTTTGATAAAAATTTGCTTTTCGATAATTTCCTAAATTATTTAATCCAAAAATTAATTAGGTAATTATTAAATATTTTTTAGGAATGATTTTAGAATAAAGATTTGAGCAAAATTTAATATTTAGGAATTTCTAAAATTTAGATTTGAATAATTCCGAAAATAGGAAGTAATTATGCTAATTATTGGATGTAATCATGAGTTAAACTTAGTTAAATTGTAACTGTCTTTTAGGTGTGAATTAAGGTGAAGACAGTGGTTGACGGTGCTGTACAACGTTGTGGTATTTTATTTATTGCTTTCAAGGTAGCTGATTTGCATTTAAATTGAATTTATGAAAATTTTTAATTAAATATTTTTTCACTTTTAAAATATTACAAATTTATGTTCATGAATTCTTAATTATGCCCGTTAGCTTTTCAATCTTTGCTTAATTCATATTATGTTATTTAAACTGTTCAAATTAAGTAAATAATTTAAGAAATAAGAACTCCAAGTTTTCATTTACCCTAAAAAAAATTTTGAAGATCACATGAGGCATTCAATAGTTTCAAATTTCTTGATGAAAATAAATATTATATTAAAGTTCATGTGCATGTTGATCTGAAAGTGCCAAAAATGATAAATGAGGCTCGTAGAGCCAATGATAAAGGAGGCTTGTAGAGCCAATAGTAAAGTAAATGTTCAAAATTTGATTGTGTACCTGATCAGTACAAAATCAGGCACTTCCGGGATAGGTGATTAACATATTATGACTTTGAAAATTATGCATTTAAAGAAAAGGGAATTTTATGAAAAAAGAAAAGAAAAAGGAAAG